AAAGATCGCTGATTTTGTTGTAAACATTTTGGATTTCGGCATTCCCATGATGTTTCCTTGGAAGGAAAAAATGTATAATAATAAGATTATTACGAGGATACCAAAAAGTATGCACTCAGGCAGTTATTCATATCAGAGGGTGCTATTTCACATCAAATTGTTGGAACAGCATTTATCCCATTTTTATGTATTTTCTATCTTTGTTAATTTTTGACCAAATGAACAAAATATGTCATTGATTGAACTTTTTAAACAAATTTAGAAAAAAAATATGCAATTTTATTATGTGAAAACTAATATTGACTCAAGTTATGTTCACTGCCTGAGATAATGAACATTAATTTATGCATATTCTGAACTTCCATAAATTATTGTTCAAGAATATTTAATTTATGTATTAAACAATGTTTAAATGTTAAAAAAATGTGACGAAGAAAAAAAAGAGTAACAAGGAAAAGGCTGCATTCTATTTTTTAGTCTTTCAAATTACAATTGATATGCTTGAAGACTTTTCAGTAAAACATACAGTCTTTTCTAACAACCACTTGAAGCGTGACTGGAATTTGATGAGAACACAAGGCATAAACATACAGTGCTGACAAGGCTATTCATAGTGCTACCTCTGATATTGTCTGAACATTGACATCCATGCGGATATGAATGTCAAGTTAAATCACTTCATATGGCTTTCAACTTGTATTATTGATCTTGTGTGTTCAAGCCAATAAAAAGAAACATGGATGGTAGAACACAGGAAATATTGATTCAAATTTGTTAGCAAGTAAAATCTGTTTAACTCATTGAAAATCAGATATTTTTATGTTATTTGATGAATTTTTTTTAAACACAAAATTCTTTAGGGAAAAACATATTTCAAAAAAGCATATACATTCTATAATCTATGTATGAAGTACTGATGATAACAGGGAACCTGGAATCACAGAAAAAATCTGAACTGCACTAATCATTTAGCATCAGATGAATGCTTTGTAAAACATGATTCAAAGTGATTGGAAGACTATCTAGCTTCTTTTACACACATACAGTCTCCCCTGGGGCAATTTCAAACTCTCAAACAGCATTTTGAGACTATGTAAGCTGTGACAATGAAAATATGTTTCTCGTGTATTGAGAGAAAATATTCTAATCTTGATACTTTGAGAAGATTTTATGGATGAGGGGAAATATTGATGAAAAACAATGTAATTTAATAAATTCAACACTAGATGGAATTCACCAAAACACGAGAGGGCGCTGCAGTGAATGCAAAATGAATAGATATAGTCAGAAGAGTCTGAAACTGATGTAAGATTACACAAAGGTGAAGTAGTTACATCCATTCATTTAAACTGAACAGTGAACATAAAACATTAAGCTTGTAAAATTTAAGGAGATAATTTGAAAAACAGTTATGCTCACAGCGGAAAAGCTTAAGTTGGGTAATAAAATTCAGCATTATATATTGCTACACAGCAAATGTGCTGTGTGAAATTTGACACTTTTTGTGAGTTTATCCATAAATTCTCACATTTTAAAAATTATTATAATAATGGTGTATTCATTTGTTCAATTCAGTATTCCGTTGAAAATTCAGAAAAATCAGATTAAATTGAATAATGAATGCTATAAAGAATAGTTAAGCTACACATGGTCACTATGTAAAGTTTTCTCAATATGGCATTTTCTAATAACATTTTTATTGTGATTTTATTAATGCAAGCACATTTATTTAATATAGATAAAAATGAGATAAATTTCTTCCAAAATCTGCAGATTGTACTGACTAGTGTGTAATCTTCAACTATTTTAGTTTTCCTTAGGTTATGAATGGAAATGCAAAGTTAAGGAAAACAGATAGCCCTTTTCTCACTCGCAAATTGAGAAAGGTTTAAAAAAATTGTGGCTGCCCTCACAGTCAAGCGTAAATCATTTGATTTAAATTTAAAGCTATCTGCAATAAGAATAAACGTTTTTATTTTTTAGTTAATATTTCATTTGGTCTATATTACAGGATTAAAAACTTCAAACTACAAAGAAATAGATAAATATTGAATGGGTGGTTATCAGTGGTGAAACAAATTCACCAGAAGCCTTCAACTCTCAAAAAGATTTCCACATATTTCCAGCAGATCAGATTTATCACATATAAAATAATAGGGTGAATGAACAAATTTAATTTAAAAAAACAAATAATTCCATAATTAGGTGAAATGATATGAATGTGAATACTGATGAATTTAGTCGTTTCATACAGATTCAATAACAATTTTAGTTGTGTAAAAAATAGGATAATATTTTGGTATTTCATTCATGAATATTGAGTAAACTACAGAAAAAAAGATGTTAGGCATATAAAAGAAACCAACAAGGTCTACTATCAAAATATAGCTGCAGTGTCACAAAGTCAATTATTCATTTTTTTTATGATGAAAAAAATCTAAATTTTCCGCAAAATGACTGTTTCCATGGCAACCAACTATTTAGGCATACACATAGTATGTGGCATGTTAACAGACAATTATAATGGTTAAACTTGTAGGGATAATACCCTAGTGGAAAGAATGAGTTTATGAGATTTGTTTCACACTTTAGTTAACTGTTCCGCAAAACATTGGACATATATTTCCATCAGAGAGAGAAAAGAATTCAT